TAGCTGGTCTGTGACTTTCTCTCAAATGGATGAATTTTTATGAAGTTTGATGGATTTGTTTTTAAGGTCCCACTACAGGATTTCAGTCAGGCTGAGGTCTGGACTTTAACTAGACCAGCACCTTGATTCGTTTCTTTTTCAGTCATTCTGTAGAATTTTTGCTGCAGTGCTTGGGATCATTTTCCTGTTTCATGAATTGGTTTAGGCAAGTTTTAGCTGTCAGAAAAATGGCTTCATATTTAATATGAGTTTAGTACATTTTGGTATAGAGAGTACTTCTTGGTCAGCGTTTGTAGTGTTTGTGTTTGTCCTGATATCATGTGTTTGGTTTACTTCAAACATGTTGCTGTGCACTATGGACAAAGATCTACACTTGGGCTTCATCTGACATTGTTCCAGAAGTCGTGTTGTTTGTTTAGATGTAGCTTTGAGATTCTAAGCCTTGCTGCCATGTTTGTCTTAGAGAGAAGAGGCCTTCTCCTGTCAACTCTTCCAACCAAGCCATACGTGTTCAGTCTTCTTCTAATTGCTCTGTCGTGAACTTTACCATTTTAAATGGTAACCAGGGCCTGTAGACTCTGCAATTAAACTCTTGGGTTTTTTCCAGTTACTCTGAGCACTGGACAATCTGAGCTTTTTGGTGAATTTATTGGGATGTCCAATTTTTTGGAAAACTGGCAGTTGTCCTGGATAGAATGAGCCTTATAACTGTTCACAGATTGGTGGACAGCAACAGTTGCTTGGCATGGTGTTAACACACACCTGAATGACCCAGACCAGCAAACCACCACAACGTCTGCTTTTATGGAGGTGCTCACGCTTACTGATGATCAATCAGCTGCATTTGATTAGCAGCGCAAGGCTGCTACTTGCCCTCTTAATTCCTATGGAAAAAGTAAGGATGCACTTGGTTTTTCAGCACGTTGCAGAGTCCTGTGAAAACTACATCCACAGTAAGGAGACACCAGATCAGGAGTCCCCAATCCCAGTCCACAAGGGCCAGTGTCCCTGCAGGTTTTAGATCCCACCCTGGGTCAGCACACCTGAATCACGTGATTAGTTCATTACCAGGCCTCTAGAGAACTTCAAGACATGTTGAGAAGTTAATTTATCCATTTAAATCAGCTGTGATGGATCAAGGACACATCTAAAACCTGCAGGGACACCGGCCCTCGTGGACTGGGATTTGGGACCCCTGAACTAGATGAACAAAACTGCCTGAGAATATTGAGAATATCTGGGTTTTGGCACATGTACTCAGTAGGATCTAATAAACAGATCATAGCAATGAAGTGCTACCCTCTGGAAACAAAGACCAAAGTATTTGGTTCGTCTGTGTGGGACTGATGAAGTGTTCATTATCACAAAAATGTCATTTCATCACATTGCAGTCAGGTGGATGGGAGTTGGCACCAGCCTGCTGATATTTACAATCAGTGTTTCTGAATGAGGGAAGGGGGTGCATCCACTTGGAGAAAATTTGATTAAACAGGTGAGCACCAGTAATTGCCTTGGGTGAGGCCTTAGGGGAAATAATTTCACAACTAAAGGGAATTAGTGAAGAAGGAAGTGCCATGGAAGGACACAAAAAAAAAAAGCAACAGAGGGTGGTTTATGTTCAGAGAGGCTGATAAGAAGATGGAAAAACAAACAATATTGCAGTTTAACAGCATAGTTACGTGTTAATAACCTGCTGAATTTCTGTTTTTATCAGCCATTTTAGTTCTCCAAAATGCCTTTACTCTGAAGGCAATAATAAAAATGAAAAAAATCATCATAAAGTTAAAAATAGAAAGTGATTCTGAACAGCTGGGCAATGCGAAATGAGGTGCAGAGAGAAACATAAAAAGATACATATCAATATTCAGTTTTGGGATTCGTAGCTTCTGTTTTGCTCAGACTGCACCCACCTTACATGTATAATTAATTTATTTATTTCATTCATATAGCCTTAACCAGAGCCTTTAATTCATACTTCAGTGGGGAAACAAAAAGACCCTGCAGAGGCAGGATGACCAAAGTTCATTAGGCAAATAGCATGAGTCCAAACGGGGTAAACACAACAGGAGGAACAATGAGTAAAGTGTACACAGGGCACTTTGGGAGATAACGATTTAACAGACTGAAAACACACTAAGGAGAGGAGCATAACAACACACAGGAGACACTAATGAGAGCAGGAAAATGAACACAGGAGGGAAGCGCAAACACAGTGAGAAAGACTGAAGGAACAAAGACGAAAAATAGGAATTTTAAATTAGCCAGAAGGGCAGAAAAACAAGTCCCGTATGTGAGTGACTGCTGTCTGGGGTTGTTTCACGCTGCGCCTTTAAGCACTTCTTTTACCAAAATACTCAGGTACTAATGAATGCATTGGGGGGCTATTTGGGGTTCAATATTTTGCCCAAGGCCTTTTTGTCATGCAAACTGGAAATCAAAGCACTGACGATGTCCCAGGCCACAGGCTCCCCCTGAGGTTCTGGCTTCTTCTGGTGCATCCTGAATAAGCTTGATCCAGCTGGGATTTGTGGCAGCTGGAGTTGATTTTCTCAAGTTGCTTTGGAGTAGTTTTTGTGGATGATACTACCATCAGGCAGAGTTATGCGAGTCTGTAACAACATTACCCTGGTTGTGAATGTCAAAGTCACGTGAATGCCACGCTCCACAGAGATGCTTGGCACTCATCAAGTGTTTCAGTGTTGCAGCTCATCAGTGTAGTTTTATTTGACATATTTTAACGCTCAGTTAATGAAAGCCAACTTCCACCATAAACTTTAAACTAGCTCTGTTTCAGCTCCACTTCATGAATTTCTATTTCTCATCACTGTAAAGACACCTTTGATTTTCTCTGTGCAGATTTTTACCTGATCTGTCTTCTGTATGGGAATAAGCCGCAGACACGCCTAAAGAGCTCTCCAATTACGAAGAGCTTTAAGGTGAGTCTGAGCAGCTGACAGCTGCTGGGAGCACAGCGTCTGAGACAAGAAATATGCTGTAAAAACGTCTCATCAGTGCTGTCTTTAAGGCATAGACCAAAGAAAGTGAACACAAGGCATCCTTTAAATGTTAGAATTTAACCAACGTAAACAGTTTCAGTCAAATAAAAAAAAAAAATAGAAATTCTCATGAAATTATTCACAAATTACAGATGTAACCCACAACACTACAGACACATTAGAGGGATCAAACGAGCAGCCAATAATCAGACTGAAATGAAATCTTAGCGTGTAAAGTTAATGAAGCTTTAGTGAGGCTCAATTTTTAAAAGCCACGTAAATGAACAGCCTGGGACTGCTGCAGTAGTCGAATCTGACTCTCACCTGCGTGCTTTAATGAGAGCTGTGTTTGGATCTGCTCCTGTCCCTCCACGGGGACAGAGAACATGCAGCTGTGGGGTCGTTCCCATTTAACAAATGTCGCGGCGCAGCGACCTGAGCAGCACCTGTAATTAACCGAGCGTGTTTGGTGGCTGAGTGGCCTCAGCGGCGAGGCGGGGGGATGACAACAAGTGTATGATGATGGCCATCTTCATTTAGGGACAGTGTTAGCATTATTAAGATGCTGTTAAGATCATTTGCTCGGTGCAGATTAGAGACATCACAGTCAGAATTGTCATATGGACACAATGACATGAAACCACTATGATTAAGAAATGTGGTGAGATTTTATTGGTTCCATGAAAAACACTGAAGGTATGTTTGTATCAGATGATCTATTTGTGTTCATAGATACAAATTCACTCATTTTCAGTTTCAACTCAGTGTTAGCTAAGTAGCATCAGTGCACATCAATGTCCTCGTATGGTGCTCTGTACTGCAAGGAAGTGGGACAGAGGGAAGACACCTCCAGCAGAACCAGGATGAGGGAAAATAGAAGAGAGGATGGGGACAAAACACATAACAGCAGTTAAAAATAAAAAGACACACACAGATATACAAAAGAGAGTAAAAAGATGTGATGGCAGATGATATGCTCAGTGCATCATAGGAAGCGCTCCAGCAGCCTACGCCTATAGCAGCATGAGTAAGGGATGTTTCCACAGCAGTAGTGGCTGATAGCTGAAGGCTCTGCCTCCCATTCCGCAACCTCTAGAAGCACAAATAAACCTGCAGTCTAAGAGAAATGCTCTGTTAGGATAATATGGGATCTTTAAAATATGACAGAAACTGATTATCCAGGAGAAAGGTTTTAAATTCAATTCTGGACTTAACAGGATGCCAGTGAAGAGAAGCCAGTATGGGGGAAATGCGGTCGCTCTTTCTACTCTCTGTTCAGGAGCTTTTAGAGTTACTCTGAGATGGGGTGTTTCAGATTTCGGCAATATTTCACGATTTTAAATGTATTTTTGATAGGAAGCATTTTTCATGTCTGCAGCTCTTCGGCGAGAACCCGGACATCCAAGTAAATCGGGTCTTTCAAAGAAGTGGCAGTAAAGGTGGTAATTCGTGCCAAGCAGCACGAATCAGAATATTAGAGATGACTATTTCGCAAACTGCTGTGAGATTGTGTTGAACTTGATAACCTGTTGGTGATAATCTCATGTTAACTCTACATGCTGCGGCAGATATTGGATACTGAGGAGCAAAGTCATGGTTTTCCTGTTATTCTCTTCCCATGTGTGCTGTACTCCCCACTTTCTGTCTTTATCTGTCTTTGGGTTATTACTTTATGTTTTACTTCATCGGTTTGTTTTCTCGTGTGACTTCAAAATCAACGCCCAGCTCACATTAACTTAATCTGTGATTGTATGCTTTCAGATTTGCATCACTGAACTGTGGTTTTAAGCTATATTTTACACAGCACCCTAACTTTTTATTATTTTGTCTTTTCCTTTGATCTCGTCGGATTATTTGTTTGCCTTTCATGTGCTTTCTTTACTTGTTTCCTGGTTTCTGTTTTTACCTTTTGTAGCTGTTTTCTTGGACTTTGGTTCATCATTTTATTTTATTATAAATTCTGGGCCACGTCTGTACCTTTGTGCAATCTCCTAACACAAACAGCTGTAAGTGGTTAAAATTTTGTTCTGGAAACCTAAAATAATAATACTTAATTTTTAAAGCAGCTTTTTATGTTTTTGGCTTTAAGGAAAAAAACATGTAAAGCTGTCTCTATTAAGAGAAGCAGAGACATATGTGCAATTATGGATCTATGGAACAGCAGAGACAATCTTTCCAGCACTCCCTGTTGTTTAATCAACATTTTATAATATACTGAAACAGAATGGAATAGATGCAAGTCGTAGTTACTGCTTAACCCTGATCCAAATATATAACAGGCACATTGGTTAGTCAAGCACAAACCCCAACCTGAAGACCTATTATCAGCATTGAAGGAAATGATCTTTGGAGTAGCTTTGGAAAAGTGAAAAATCCCACCGGGCAACAGAACCTTTCTCTTGTGACTGATTACACACCTGAGAGAGTTTTTAAAAAACAGAGAATACAAAGGGATCGAGAAAGCCCGAAAAGAAAAAGGGATTTGATTTGTATGCCTGAACATGTGGATCCACTGGGACCCCGGGTTATCCGGCACTGCACAAGAGGTGCAGTGAGAGCTACAGAGACAGAGATTTCCACTTGAATGAGGGAGAGAGCACCTCATCTAGCTGTAGGGGAGGCAGTGGGTAGCAGCTCACTGTGAGAGCAGGGATGAAAGTCCAAGCCGGGGGGGGTGCTGGGGGTGGAGTGAGACGCAACGCAACAAATCAGGATTCAAATTTGGAGGAAAAAAAAACTGTGATTGTAGTGGGTTAAGGTCTTAAACTAGGCTTCATGACTTAATTGGATAGAATAGCAATAGTAATGTAATAGTAATATAATGGTTCGCTATCACACACACACTCCAAAGGATGTATGAGCAATTACAGGGTTCAGTTTCTTGTCCCAGACTGTGAGGAGCCAGGAATCAAACCAACAACCTTTGGATTAATAGGTAATCTGCTCTCCCCTGTGGCTCAGTAGCCATTGACTCATGAGTCATCTGAAACAGTGGACCTCCAAGGAGAGTTTCCACAGCAAGCTCCTCCTGTGTGTGTCTGGGTTTTGAATGCTAGTTACTCAGAATCTGATGGATTCATAAAACTTAAAAGTTGTGTCCTTAAAGTTTAAAGCCCAGATTCAGGGTTCCTGCGTGGTCTGCAGGTTCTGCCCAGACTATTAAAAAAAAGGTGACGCAGCCAGTAATGTGAGCTACTGTGCTGCTGTTGGTTCCTTCAGCTTCTCCTCTGCTGCAGAGTCCATGAGAGTCATATATCTGCTTTAAAAAAGGCAATATTTGCTAAGCAGATGATGAATTGCTTTTGAACGAAATGCCATAGGGAGTTTGCCACACTGAGGAGCCAGTGTGACCAGCTAACTTACTTCCACCTATAAATACTTCTAGACCCTCAAGAATAAAGTGCACAGTTAAAGTTTTACAGGTGGCATAGCTCCAGAATGCAAAACGTAACACAACAGCAGCAATTAGACTTTCAAAGCGATAAGTATTTTACTCTTTAGTAAATATGTATATGAAGACAAATCAGTCAGGGGTAAACGGTTCTGAATGTAAGCAAAGAGTGTTTCGAAATCGTATGATGCTTTACAAAATGCATCGGAAGAGAGAGATTTTCTGTAAAAGTGACATGGGAGCTTGGACAAAATAGAGATTCTGACATATCTTTTTCAATATGTTACATCTAGTGAAGGTTTGTCAAACTTTGCACTGCCTATTTTTGCCCCAAATTTTGGTTGAATGTCTTAAGAAGGCCTTTTGCAGCTTTACTGAAATTTTGTTCATCAGTACAGGCTTAGAAGCTCGTGGAGGGATGGAACACGGTGGCCTTAATTGCAGCTTTGTAGCCATGTAATTTGTTGGTTTCATTTGCTAGTCAACCCATTATTTACTCTCTTTTAAATTGCAAGGGCACAGGAAGCTGTGTTTCATAATTACATGACGGAACCCATAACCACCCAGTGATGCCCGTAACAACAGTGCAATAATGAGAGAGTGCGGGGCTTACCAAGATCGAGATGAATGCTGGGAACGAAGGAGTTGAGAAAGAACATGAAGATCACAACGCCAAGGACAGACACACACTTCACCAGCAGAACTTTGTCAGTAATTCTGTGCTGCGTAGGAGGAAAATGTATTTTTTGTGAATGGTGGAAAAGCTGATGTTATCACAAGAATGACAGGATTTGTCTTAAGCGAACTTTCAAAGACTAGACCTACTTCATTACTGAGATTACATCAATGCACCAGTCACAGTGATTGAGGAAAATTTGTGAGGTGAAGAATCAAAGCCTACCTTCTTCTGCAGTTCTTGGATGTTTTGCTCCCAGTTCTTATCCTCCTGAGAAATTTGTCTGTCAGACACAACAACATTTAAATCTCACATTAGGTGAATGCACAGTGTCAAAAAAAAAAGAAAAAAAAAAGGGAAAAGTATCATCTCATAGAAACAGGGTGCTTATTTTTAGCAGTTTATAACCATATGCTGAGCATTGTGCAGTGTGAAGGATTTATTTCTGCATTTCCTGCGCTTCAAAATGTGTATTTACTTGCTATAATTGCTATGATGGTCCGGAAAGCAGGCACAGAAAAATAGGAACAGGAAAAAAACAAACTATTTCTGGACTGAACTGAACATGTCATGCTTGGTGCCATGCTTGTGTTTTAAATAATTAGAGGGGACCTATTATGCTCTTCTCCAGCTCCATATTTCTAATGTTGGGCTGCCTGAGTTTACAGCTTTGTGTGATCAGAATTAGGAATAATCCTCATTTGTTTGAGCTTGGATTTGGAGCAGCACCTAGTTCATCCAGTGTCTGAAAAAGATGTTTAAGCTCCTCCTTCCTTTAGCTAACTTTCTTCTGATATATTGATATTGCACAGATCCAGGAGCAGTCTGAAGTCTGAGCTTCAGGGTCATGGGTCTAACATACATGCACTGACATTACACACTTCTAGATTTATACTTAATTTCAAAGGTAAAAACAAATGCCGTATTTTTCGGACCATAAGGCGCACCGGATTATAAGGCACATTAAGCAAAACAAAACAGTCAGATAAGTCAAACTTTACTCAACTCATTATACTAACATAGCTGTGAAGCTAGCGATCACATAGCACATCATTATATACCAGCTAGCCCAACTTCAGTAACGCTACAAACGTCACTGCTGTTTAGTTTTCTATCTTCATTCATGTTGGAAGTGATAGCAGAGCTGTACATTTTAATATTTTCAGAAATCTCTCAGTCAGAACATGCAATATCATGTTTAGGTGGAAACTAGCGTGCTAACTTCCTGCTAACTTCTAACTCTAATGCCTGGATGTTAAACTTAATTGTTACACCCGGCAAAGTAGCAACGCTGATTAAAGATGAAATTATTTAGACAGTTTTTAACTCTCAATGATGCCGCAGTGTTCGTTTGGACCCAGATTACTCCGCGAGGCTCCTGAATACAGTAGCCATAACGCTCCGACAATCCATCAAGCGGTGTGGCTTCGTAGCTTACCAAAGTCAGACTAAAACATTTTTGACAGATTTCTGAGCGGCGTGTACTACATAAAATCCGTTCGAGGTCAGTAAGCACAACCGGAATTCATACATAAGGTGCACCGGATTATAAGGCCCACTGTCAATTTTTGAGAAAATTTAAGGATTTTAAGTGCGCCTTATAGTGCAGAAAATACTGTAACAGTGGAAGTGGAACGTGCAGTTACAGTGTTACTATTGCATGCAAGAGTTTTATATGATTGCTACTTTGTAACCGACCACACACTGCGGTGCTACCGTGGCTATGTCACATTTCTAGCCTTTAATGAGCCTTTTCCTTTTTTTTTTTACTACAGCGGCCCCTTGTGGTCAAAGTCAGTCTTATTCGTCCGTTTTCTTGGTGGTCTCGATGTGTACACCAGCCAGGTTGCGTCAGTGACGTGTGTCATCATCCTAGGTCTTTTGTTTAGTTTTTATTGAGTTCTATCGAGTTCGTCTTGTGTTCTGTCACCTGTTATTATACAGTGGAACCCCGACTTACGAAATTAATTTTTTCACAAAGTATTTGCAGTGTGTGTTTTCAGTAATCACACCAGCCATGAATTCTCTTGTTAAATCATGTATTATTGATTAGTACTGATAACTGCATCTAGTGAAAAGATCTGTACGAAGTAATATACAGCAGGTTGGCATTTGAAAAACAAAAGGCATTAACAGTACAGACAATGTGATTCTTAATGTTCTGTGTTCTTGTGCTTTCTTTAACCTTTGGAAGGTCTTCATCATGTTTCGCAGCAGACTCTCCAGGTTGAGGACTTTTTGCATTAGAAGACATTTCACAGCTGTCTCCTCTCGGCTGGCGGGGTTTATGCGCTGAGCCGTTTGCCTCCAAACCAGGATCTCATGCTTGAGTTCTGCAGGGCAAAGAGAGAACGCCACTTGTTCAGTGCATGTACGACACACAGACTTCAAAGTTACAGTGATGAAGCTCAGCAGCAGAATGCAGTACGTTTATAACGGATTATTGTTTGGTAATATCTTCTACAGCTGAGAGAACATGGTGATGTTTTCAGTCAATATGCCCAATATGTGAGCCCCCACAGAGGGCGTAATGCAGCCTGGCGATGGGTGCATTGACCAACCCAGGAACCGCCAGTGCTCAAGTACAGATACAGCCTGAGGATATGGGACCCTTATGTAGATATCAGTAGGTGCCATCCTTTTTCAGGAAGGTTGCTAGGTGACCATAATAGGATCTAAGCAGTGCAGGGGGGAAGAGGAAAAAAAAAACATTTCCTGTTAGCAAATCTGCACAATTACCAGCCGTGGCAGGGGGTTTGAGCTGATCCAGCCACATGCACTCTTAGCAAGGCCAGGCTGGCAGGAGAAGAGGAAGAAACTCCACGGGGTCAGATTTAGGCCAGCATCGAACGGTCACCGTGGTGATGGGTAAAAGCTTCCTTTAGTTTGCCCGCTGCTCAGTGTGACAGAACAGCTCCGAACAGTCGGTGTTGCTCACAGCTTAAATGTGAGGATTGTGGTGACCACTGAGCAGCCTCATGGTCTCTGCTTCAATCATCCCATGCTGGGGTCATCTCAGAGGGGGAAGTCTGATAGTGTGGGTAAACAATGATAGGAGGTGACTGTGTTTCCGGAAGAATTCTTAACAGTTTCAAACAAATATCTTTTTTTTTGTTGTTGTGTTTTATTTTGTATGCTTATTATCTATCTCCCCAGAGTCTTACAAGCCAGATCTACAGTAAGACAGAATGATGGAGGACAGTCATGCTCCAAACCAGCACAGTCTGTAGTGTCTGTGATCCTTTCTCTCTCTCTGAACATTGTTCCAAGTCTTCAGGGATGGCCAAATCATTTTCTTTCCTGTTGCTGGATAATTAAGAAGATACATAAAAGGGCTGCGGTACACCAGATTAGCTGAATAGAAAAGAAAGGAGTCCCGTGTCGCTATCAGGCTGCTCTCTGGATGAGTGAGTCTGTTCACTGCCAACTAGTCAGAGCAACTGAACATCAGAGTAAAGGGGTTTTCTCACATGAGCCATGTGGTGTCGGACACACTGTGAGTCACCAGATCCTCGAGGGATGTTAGCGGGTGAAAAAGGAGATAAAGGCATTCTACCCCAGTAAATGATGTCTGAGTTAGGTTATTATCACAAATACTTTTGAATTTTAAAGGTCAAAAAGTTAGTTTTATCAAATTAATTGTAAACTTTGTTCACCAAGAGGCCCAGACTTTGGCATCGAGGCTCTGAGCTCATGTTTCCACTGCTGAATCCCGTGCAGGTGTGTTTTTAGAGTTTCTTTAACCTGCCTACATTTGAAGAGCATCTGCAAGCCACTTTGCAATGCATCTTCACCCCACTTCATGTCAAACCTTTATACTGCTGCACTCCCCACTTTCATGCTCACGCATACACATGGAAGGGTCCCACAGCCCTATCACCAAATATACCGTTATGTGAAAACGTTTTTCACAGGTTTCACAGTAGCTTGTAGATTCAGCTTTAGTTTTCTTTTTGTTAACTTTAATACTTAGCATGCTAACACTTGGGGTTTTTCCAGTTTCTCTGAGCATTGCACGGTCTGATTTTGGGGCCGTTTACTCCTCGGAAGATTTTGGCATCATGCTAACATTCCTGAATAATCAAGAGCAAAAAACTGCACATTTTTTGTTTTTACAGAGGTGCTCACATTGTTGATGATCAGTTAATCAAGTGCATTTGATGAGCAGCACCTGACTTACCCTCTTATTCCCTATTCAAAGAGTAAGGCTTTACCTGCAGAGAGTCAGGAAAACTTTCTTTTTCACATATAAATAACTGCAGAGGGAAATGAGCATCTTTCAATTGTAGTGGTCCCGACTGAGGTAAAAACGTTGAAGACAGAGGTGGTGGATGGATCGAAGCAGCAGGCAGAGATGGAGGGCAGTAGCACTGCCACTGAGGCTTTTATATATGATGTGAAGAGATTGAAGAATGTTACACCTGCATGATGGGCAGCTTGGTTTGACTGTCGAACTGATCACAGGCTTTGTTCCAATTATAAACTTTTTTTTTTTTAAACAGTGACTGATGTGAAAATCTGTATCACCCGGCTCTGAAGACTATTCTTCAGCAAAAAATATGAATATTTTACAATTCCACTCCCTTCTCAATAAGGCGAACACAGTACTTTTTTTTGTTATTTTGTATGTTTTTGTTTTTAGTTTTTAGTATAAAAAGGAACAGGGAGTTCTGTCCTGTGTTCCTAAATTACAGCGCTCTTAGAGAGGCTCTATTGAGCATGACCTTTTCAGACCTCTCCAAATTAAGTACCCTACTTTAAATAATAAAATGTAAAAAAAAAATCACGCACACAGAATCTTTTTGCAGCAATATATGTTCCAGAAATGTAATATCGGAGATGGCAGAGATATCTAACAGTGTGAGTGGAACAGTGTGGAAATTGAAAAAGTGAAAACTGAAGGCAGCACACACCTCAAGTGGAAATTAGAGGGATGAGGCCGTAATGCCGAGTTAATTATGTTTGTGTGAGGCCAGTGCATTGCCTGAGAAGGTTTATTGGGAAGCTATTGTGTGCAAAGATGTTATTGGGGGTTAATACTCTTCTTAATAATACTCAAAAAACCATCACAAATGATTTCAGGTTGTGCTGTATCCAGCAGGTAACTATATTTTTTATAACTCGAGTCCACTCAGCTTAATAACAACCATGTAAAAAAATATTTTTCATGTAGAAAAACATAAATTAACCCAAAAAACTACTTTTTAAACTGAAGAAATGTTAAACTCGGACATGTGACATCACCATTTTGATTATTTGAAACCATGTTTGACCATAATCAGAGGATCTGACTGAGAAACAGAGGGATGCTGGTAGAGTAGCATCTTGTCAGTCAAATCTCCGCCCTAAGACACCACAAGTTTTATCATCTTTTTTTTACTCTACTGCAAACATTAGAACATTAGAGCCAGATTTAATGAAATGTAACTTTCTTACAGTGTTTAAAAAATTAAAAAATTACATGTAATTATATTAGTTAGAATTTTTTGAGTATAGGTGTCACCCTGAGCAGTCTACGGGATTAGAGTATCAGTCTATGAACAAAGCAGTGCTACTTACCAACTATTTCAATGGACTCTTTGTTGTAAAGTTTTTTGTTCCAGTAGAGCATCCGCAGGAAAGGAAATGAGGTAAAAAGGACGAGGCATATTCCGAGGAACATGTAGCCTGTGAAACTGGCAAAATCAATCCCCTGTAGGAAACATAATGAAAATGTGTTAGACATTTGCCGTCTGGTTGAATTTCATTCAAACGTGACAAACTGAGCCTGGGCTTAGGCAAAAAATGTGTGCATGCAGCGATGGACTTTTATGGAGAGACACAGTATGAAAAAAGTCGTGTGGTGTTCTGAGGAAAGAAAACTCAGAGTTCAGGAAAGCAGCTACCTAAAGTGTCCTCCCACACAAGTGCATTATAATGATGTCAGACTATGTTCCTTACTATATAAAGGGCCTTGAGAGCACTGAACTCTTGAGAAGGACAGCAGGAGGTGCATTCACACTCCAAACTGTAAGTATGAGCCGCACATCGTACCTGGAAGTTTGGATTTAAGAGTGAAATGACACAGAATTTGATTATTGCACACAAATCGGTGCGTTCTTTCATGTTCTGTCTTCACTCTCCGTTGTAATTCCTGCTGCTCTATTTTCCTCGTCGCTCCAGTTTCCCACGCTGTCAGATTCACTTCACTCATCAGCCTCTGTTCCCCGATCAACCCTCCTCCTTCCCGTCTCCACCTCACTCACTGCATTTCACTCTTTATCTCCATCAGCCATCTGTTTACTCTGCTCCACCACCTCTAGCCACTATCTCCTTCCTTCATTTGGGATTCTGCTTACTGATGGTCCTCTCATGTGATTCCCAAAAAATACATTTTTTTGGATAAAATTTTCCTCTTTTCTTCCAAATGGTCTCTCCCTGTTGTAAGGAAACTTAAAGTGACAGAAAAACAACAAAATATAAATAAACACTTGTGTGATTCTCATTGAGCAACATTTAAAGACACTTGCAAGTAGCTCACGCTGCCTTTATTTCACATGCTTTCACAGTATAAAGAACAATTTTCTGATATTCAGTGATAAAACTGGTTAATAGTAAAAGGGTGATGCAACTAAACATGAGTGGAAGTGTCTGAATTATTAAACAGCAGATTTAATCCACATATTCCCTTTGGATCACAGAGTTAATTTTGTCACTTGTGGCACATCCCGGCTACATCCTGGTTTATGCGCACCCCCATGGAGACCTGCTCTCCATCTGCAGTGACCTGCAGGGCAGCCTGGTGGACTGAGAACAGCTGCTTGCATGAACCTGCTGTTTATGAAAAAAATTCACAATTCCTGTTAAAATCTCGGTTTCAGCGATGAAACAAAAAGATGAAGAATAATAAAATGTTGTGCGCCCGCAGCCTAATGAATACAATATGTGCTTGCGACAGTCACAAGATCAAAAAAAGAGAAACTTAAACTTGTTGATGTGATTGTATTTCTGTTTGCGGCCATAAACTGCGACCCCGGTATGTCCATATTTCAGAGCCAATGTCAACGATTCTGGTTGGAGGGGATCCAATTGGCAAGGAAAGTCCCTCTGTGAAATGATACCAGAGTTTTCATATGCACAATGGTACCTTGGTTTGTAACACTGTGATGAGGAGCAGAACCTAAACACATACACACTTCACGGACGTGCCTTTCTTTCCATCTCCAGATCCCTAAAATCCCTTCGCCACATACAAGCCAGCAGGCAAACTAACTAACGGGTAAGCAGACCGCGCACAAACAAGCTGTGCTTATCGTGGGCCAGACATGACTGAACGAGTGTGCCGTGGCTGTAACCCTGCAGTTCTGTCACCTGGGAAATGGAGCCAAGACAAACTGGACAGTGGGCTGTGGAAACCTGGCGCTACAGGAGCTACAGTAACCCGGAGACCACATACTGCTCGCGTCGGCAAAGGCCAAAATGTCACATGCACTGAACAGATGTCACATCAAGCAGTTGTGAAAATGTCATGTCTTGTAGAGATTTAGCATCATGCTCCTCTGAGTATACAAAGAGTGAAGGTTATGAGAGGAACATGCAAGTCAATGCCCTTTTCAGACAGCGACGCTCTGCTCTGATTAGCTCAGTAAAATGTTGTCACTGCTGTTTCAGCTTTGTCCAAACTTGTGCAACAGATGACAACTTGTGTCTAAATGGGTTTCCAAAAGGCTCAGGTAATGAATAATGGCTGGATTTTAGTTAAGCCAGAACACAGAATACAGATCAACTTGACAAGGCAGTACTGGTGTAGTACTGGGACTGCAGACTGTGGCAGTTTTTCACTGGGAGTGACCAGGATGGAAAAGGTCATACATCAGAGGGACAGCTGAAGCTGAAAGTTATTGGACGTTTCTAAAAGTTAGAGGCTAGGATGAGATAGTGTAACATGTGCAAAGGAGGGACACGGTAAAACGAAGACTACAGAGAAGATTTATGAATGAAGGAGGAAGTAGGACATGCAGGGTTGGTGTGACAGAGGGCTAGGATGAGATGGAGGCTAATGATCCACCCCTAAAGGGAGCAGAAGGAGAAAGTGGTTATAATGTGCTGTAGTAGGGAACTCCCAATTTCTAAAAATGGGAAAAGTTCCACTTTCTGACTTCTTGGGCTTTCCAGAATAAATGGAGCCCACGAAAGTAAAAACAAGGGTTAATACAATTAACTTTAGATTTTGTACCTGGTTTAGATTGTAGGAAATACTGTTTCTGTAAGTATGAGGGACATAATCCAACCACAAGCCATGTTACAACATTTACAAAACAGGAAGGAGCAGAGAGCTACATGGAGCAGGTGTCCATCACTACAGGCTGCTACTTCCACACACGTGGAGGTCTCTGCTTTGCTTTAACCACACTCCTAACATCCTGTCATAAAACCTTACTACACCAATCAGGATACGTAAGCAGGATGCTGGCATTTCATTAGCAAAATCAGCTTCACTGTAACAAAAAACAGCAATCATCAATACCGATTCAATATGCTATATTTATGAAAAATAAAATAAAATGTGGGCTACTTAATAGAAACACTCTGATTCATTGAGGCCTGACTCATTGCAAATACTGCTGGTTCATTTTGATTAACAGGAAGGGAGCCGGCTCTCCGTGGATCTCTCAGAGGCTAAGCAGAGTGTAACAGCCACTTTTGAGGGGTTTCTGGTGCAGCCAGCAGATATCCTGCCGTTCATTCTGAACTTTATCCACTAAAATGATTTAGTTGAACTCAAACTGAAAGAGGGCTGCTAACCAGAAAGCTTCCAATACTAAAAATGTTTTCCGTTGACTGCAGATCC